GGCACACATGTAAAGTCATTATGCAGTTAAATCATTTAAAGATACAGTTAACAGTTAGGTTCCACAGCTGATAGATGACAACATCTCTGCGCCAGGAGATGTGATTGTATACACTTTAAGGTCAGTGGCTAGGGGTCGAGACAGCTGGTTGTTCTTCAATAAGAAAGCATAGGGGAGAACGATGACTGAGAAGAGCTTAGCATATTACATTACCGCATCCAGTATGAGAATGGAGGTGTAGCCATAACTGCCGCGTTTCGATGGGTGTTGAGAAAATATCAGCCACTCATGTCATACTATCGGGTTTACAAAGCATGCTTATGGAATGCACTTTGGGCGCCGCTCAAGAGTCGGTAGAAAGACGAGGATTATTTAACCAGATGACAACTCGTGCCATCAGTAAACAGACTCTTTGCCATCTAGGGAGGAGTAGAAAAGGAACTAATATGGGCTTGTCCTGAATGCTAAAACGTCCAATCTTCACCTGGATGAGCCAGATGGACAGTACACACCTTTAAATGAAGCATGAATCGTCATGGCACTCCGACACATGCATAGGTGCTCAGAGTCTGCTCTCACCATATACATCAGGTTCCCGCGGTTAATGGTGCTAATTCCATACTGCTAACAAAACTTGGTCTGCGTCTGCTGACTTTCGTGCCTAGCTATGCCAATCTTTATTGACATTTCTTGCAGCTTTTACAGCCATATGGACCAAACCTTGCCCCTCCCAAAGAATTTCACCTCTCATCTCTGTCTCTCTGTCTGTCTGTCTCTCTCTCTCTCTCTCTCTCTCTCTCTCTCTCTCTCTCTCTCTCTCTCTCTCTCTCTCTCTCTCTCTCTCTCTGAAGACTTTAACAACGTCGGCGCTATCCAAAGGCCGACCATTCGCAGCTATTGTAGAGCCCTGCAATCTTTCCGCTCTTCACTTAATCTGATTTAGTTTAAAAACCGACATCACACCACTCGGGGCATTCTCATAAGTGCTATGTCCCCATCCTCAGCAGCCAACGCAGAGTGCAAAAAACAATGGTGCCACTAGCACCCTGATTACATGTCTGTTTGAACATAGAGTTTCGACCAGAACCCCTTATCTCTCCTCGCTGCATCATTCCTACCACACTGTGATAATCAATTTGCTGTTAGAAATTGTAAATGTGCTCACAAAAGGCCTTAATGACTTTCTGCCTAACATGGAACAATTCATGGAACAAATGTTCTTTCATTTCTCATCACATCGGCATATCCCAGAGAAAACATCCAGACAATGCTCTACATCGAGACCTCTGAAGCGAGGCATGTCATTGATCACGAAGCATGCCTTTTAGTACCATCCTTAGCATTGTTTTTGAGTCAGTTAAACCACCATGTGTGCGTGTATCGTGTTCCTCTGCCAGCGGAAAGCTGCAGGGACAGTCTCCACCTACAGTCTTAAGCTGGATGGTGTAGTACCATTTGCTAAACTCTCCTGCACCAAACCTCGGCCATTAGCTTTTGCTAAGAACCTACAGGCTCTTTTTTTGCCTCTTGACACTGAACAATCTGAATAAATAAGCACCCAAGTGCGGGAATTATCATGAATTAATTGCTGAATATCCACCTCCGTGTCACATGTTGGCCATTCCCTGCTCAATGTGGTTACGACTGAACAAGTCTGTGACAGTCTGCTGGCACTCTGGCCCACTACTTTCCTCGTCTGATGTCCTCCATAATACAGACCTGTCTGATCGTGTCCTTCGCCTGAGCCGTTTGAGGTACCACTTAGTGTGCTGCCTCTTGAGCCATGTTTTGGGTACATAAGGCTAGACGTATATTTATGGACCAATCGCCACTAGAAGGGCGTTGTTCCCTTTCTGTCCCAACATTTTGCTTGGTACGCTAATAAGGCTGAGTCGACCTGAGAGCCAATTTGTATATATATTTTTCAAAGTCCAGCGAGCTTCTATCTGCTAAACCACTGTGACCCTCGCGGTCTCCCGTACCGATGCTGACTTCACTGAGAAGAGGAAGACAACTGGTTTCATCATCTTTTTAGAAATGCAGCCAACACTGTACACACAGGACCTGATAAGATCCAATGTGCCAGATAGAGAGCGCCCAGAGAGAAGATATCGCAACATCATTAAATGCATTACTTAATTTAATTTGATTTGATTCAAGAACCGACATCACAGCGTTTGGTGCATTCCCATTAGCGCTCCGTCCCCATCTTTAGCAGCCTGCGAAGAGTTCTGATACTAATGGTGCCAGTAGCATTCTGATTAAACGTCCGTCCTGCCTTTCCTCTGAGCCTCGAGCATCTGCCAGAACCTCTCGTAACTCCGCGCTGCATTAATCTCACCAGACTGTGGTGATCCATCTGCTCCTCCGATCTGTACACGCTCTCCCACAAGGCACTAACCACGTCTGCCTTATCATGTATCAGTATTCCACCAAGTTGTGCAGAGCCAGCCAGTCTGTCCGCGTGTTCATTTTAAATGCACTATATAAAGCATCAAGCGATGGATTACAGTCCGTTCCTTGCCACAACGCTCTATGGGAAACGTATGAGGTGAGTGTTGCTGGTGCTGATTCTAATGTCCATTGTCCATTGTCAGAGGTAGAGTTGGTCGAATACGTTCTCGGCTTCGAGAAACAATGTAGTTTATTGCTATTTTGTTTCGCAAAAAAACCACAACAAATTGTGTCGTTTCATTTTTGTATTTTTAATTGTGCAGTGAGCGCCGTATTTGTTTCGCTAATGTAAATGTTTCTACTTTCTAAAACATTTAGAAGACAACGGTCAGGAAAAAGAACCGCCGTTTTTTCAACCGGTCAGACATTATGAAACAGTTGCACTTTATTTGTGTATCCTGTTTGTTCCTGCTGACAGGTAGATGAGATCAAATAGTGCGAATTGCATTGTTTAACTGTTTGATCTTCTACTGACTGCTTTTTCTTCTTCTGTCCTACCGTTTCCTGACTGTTGCTAGTTGCGTAGCCTGTGTTAAAATGTCATGCTGACTTTCTACAGTGGCTCTGTTCCTTCACTCATCTTTTTCTTGCTTGCTGGCTTCTTGAAAAAGAAAAAGAATAATTTGATCACGTTCAGAATTTTCAGCTATTAGCTGATGCCTATATTTGTGATCTTTATTAGGTTTGATTTGTTTGAATATGGTTTCCTTCGGTTCCATTTGGTTATGTTGTTCTAAACGATTTGGCTGATGTTGTTTCTCACTTGTATAAAGTTGTTCTATACCTGATGTTGTTGTATCCGGAGGCAAGGGTCTTCTATTTCTTAATTGTGTCTCTTTTTTCGTTCTTGACTATGGTAGAACACATCTGTATATTGCATTTTAGTTCTCTCCTATCCGCTCGTCGTCTTGTATCTTTTTTTCTTGATCAGACTCTTGCTTGATAGTGCTGTTTTCTCCTGACTGTAGCTGATTGTGTTCTTTTCTGACAAGATAACCAAACCGTTTACTTCTTTGATGTTTGTCAAATAACTTACTGCTACATTGCCTACAATTAATCCTAGTTCTTCGATGGTGACCGTGTCTTCTTCTGTTTTCCTTCGCATTTCTTGTACGTTCTCATTTCATTTATTGCATTTTTCGTTTATTTTTTATTTTTATTTTAGGACTGTCCATGCTTCAGAAGCATTGCACAAAACTGCTACGAATCGCGAATTTATCAGCTGCATTAGCATTTGTGTATACTGATGTTTGGTGTCTCAAAAAATGCGTTAAATGGTAACGTGACGGGGCATTAGGCAGGATACTTGAAGGCCTCTGCGTACTATTTCTTTTCAGGACATCACAGAGTAGGGCACTCACTTATCGTGACATCTCAAGCAGCTGTTAAAGGCTGACAACGTAGTCTAAACACATGTGGATGCATATCAAGGGTCATTCAAAAAGAAAAACAAACGCGTGGTGTAGGATTGATTCTCTCCCATTGCCTCCACCCCCACACCCCCCCCCTTTTTTTTTCTTTCTTCTTTTCCTGTTTACTTTTAGTCAGAACATACTAAAGAAACTGGACATCCCCTAACAGTAAATTATCAATGATTATATAATCACATTGACAGTAACTAATCTATGCCTTTTTTCCACTTGGTTCTTTCTTCACTTTTCTTTTTTCTGTAAAGCCGTGTCGTACGGAATGAGTTCAAGATACCGTAGACACGACAGTTCACGTGACAAGAAAGGTAGTTGGGGACCGATGGCTAAATGGCAGACACCTTAGACATGACTGTTCACGTGACAAGAAAGGTAGTTGGGGACCGATGGCTAAATGACAGACACCTTAGACACGACAGTTCACGTGACAAGAAAGGTAGTTGGGGACCGATGGCTAAATGGCAGATACCCTAAAAATGACAGTTCACGTGAAAAGAAAGGTAGTTGGGGACCGATGGCTAAGTGGCAGACAATCTAGACACGCCAGTTCACGTGACAAGAAAAGTAGGAGCGGAACAACGGCTAAATGGCTCTCGGTGATAAAGCAGCGAACTACAAATAGTCCGGTATATGATGAAGATGCCGATGATAACCATGATGACCACCATGACAATGATAATATTGACGATACAGATGACGATAAATTAGTTGAGTTGATTTGATTCAAGAACCGACATCACTGCACTCGGGGCATTCACATAAGCGCTCTGTTTCCATCTTCAGCAGCCAGTGTAGAGTTCCGATACTAATGATGCCAGTAGCATTCAGATTTAAAGTCCGTCTTGCCTTTCCTCTGAGCTCTGAGCATCGGATAGAACCCCACGTCACTTCCCGCTGCTTCAATCTCACTAAACTGTGGTGACCCATCTGCTCCTCCGAAATACACACGCTCTCCCACAAGACACTAACCACGTCTGCCTGATCATGCATGCATCAGTATTCCTCCAAGTTGTGCAGAGCCAGCCATGAACATTGAGACGATTGTTATGAGGATGATCAATATTGTGACAGTGCAATTCGTGTTAAACAATCTGCATATTTTTCTTTTCTTCTGTACAGTCGAAGTTGATTGCTTTCAAGGCTGGATGAATATTTCTGGCAGCGGAATTCTGGGAGAAGAAACATACATTAGCTGTAGTTATCTCCCTGTACCCCACGAAGTCGTCTCTTTTCTTTATATCTGGCCGCACTCAGTTATGAGAGGCTCTGAGTTTTACTTTATGATTACGGAAGAAAATGTCATCTATCTGGGAGCCAGCCACCATGACCGACTTTCCGTGACTGTTAACAGAACTAGTGTTGTCGGGACGACTAGCATTGCGAAGACGGCCACCATGAAGATAGCCGATCTGCAGTGCTCCGATGAGCAGAATTATGGGTGTGCTTTTCATTACAGAGCTCCTCGTGAAATTTCAGTTACCACGTTCATGATTTCAGAAAGGCTAATTATCAAAGGCAAGTATTGTTCGTTATTGTAAATGAAAATGGGTTGGGAAAGGGGGGAGGGGGGGGGGTGTTTGCCGATTTATACCTGTCGGGGTACCGGCACTAGGACTTATATTGCTAAAGCCCTGTCTATCTTTCCATCTCTCTCTCTCTCTCTCTCTCTCTCTCTCTCTCTCTCTCTCTCTCTCTCTCTCTCTCCTTGTGTCTCAAATCGGTATCCTTCAATTATATATCTATATCTTTCAGTCCAATCTCAATCTCTCTATTTGTCATTCGCTTCATTTATCGATCTCCCTATATGTTCTAATTCTTTCCCTAACTATGACCCTCTGTATCTCTATCTATCTCTCTGCCTATCCATCTCGATCTCTTCTTATCCCTCTGTCTATTCTTCCCCACATTGACTTGATATGGACAAAAAAAAACAAAAAAACAATAAACTGGGACTCTTCAAAATGGCCTGTAGACCTTGTGTATAATTGAGTCCGTTGTTTGTGTGCGGTTTTCAGTTTAATTTCTTGTTGCCAGGTGTTGGTACGCCTGACTATTCTTCTCCATATCAGTCTGCATCCCTATTGATACTGCTCCCTATCTGTCGTTTTACATCAGTATAGGCTCTAGTATTCAATCTACAATCCATAAGAGAAATAGAATGAGCGAATGATATTGCGGATATAGGCCCTACTTGTCACATGTACAAATTGTATTCATAAACAATTTACGACCTTAAAACATACCTTTTGAAAACAAAACCGATAATTGACGACACCATTGTCCACCAACGAATCGTGAGGTCATTTTGTGCCACAAAACACAATGCCCAGCCATAACTGGCTTTAAATTACCCCTGAGGAAATCCTATGACGTCTGAGAATTGAGGCGTTTCAGACTGTGACACCTCTACACACTCAGAAAACGGAAATGCCAGATTTTTCACCCGAAACAAAAATATCGTTTACTTGGAAGGTTTTATTTTTAAGAGTATCTGGCATTCCAATCCATCTACAGATATTTGCTTCTGGTTAAAATGGACGCTAGGCAAGGTCACTGTTTTGAATCATGGCAATTATTTTACTTTTGGCAGACGGTGGCTGTTGCAGTTTTACTCTATGTGTAGACTGTAAGGACATAGTTTTGTCGCCCAGCTACTAAGTTGAGTCTATGGTACGACGCTGTGAGCTGCGGGTTTCATTTGGAATGTCCTTCGAGTGGGACCAACCTGGTGTTGTGAACTGTAGATTCAGAAAATGACGCTTGGCTTCTCGTCGCAATATTGGTGGTGCCCTCATGCTCATCTGTTTATAACTTCTGCTACTGTCTATGATAAACTGCATTTCTAATGTCAGACTGTTTGCGTTAGCACTTCTGATGGCTACAGTTCGCTTTTAACGCGTGTGTATACTAGTGCACATGCTAAGACAGCAGTCTGTCAATCTTTTCACAAGGGACTGTGATAAACATTCTGTGTGTTTTTCGTTGGCACAGGAGCGGAGCAACTATGGGGTGACCTGTTTGCTATGACGCTGAAACAAAGATTACCAGATAACCAAGATGTTTTCCCCCTTACCCTCATAGAACTTCTTTTCAGCTGCTTGGTTTCCACTTCTAACTTACATTAACAACTGTGACTTACTCTTGCGCGGCCCATTTTTTTACTTCGATTGTCTCAGGAAGGGGGAGCGGCCTGTACATGCTTGCCGCCTCTACACACGTAATTACTGTATTCGAGTCTCTTATCTGTCGACGTCTGGGGCTTAGTCGTTGCGAACGCGCTTCCTAATGCCGGGGTAGCGGGTTCGATCCCAGCTGCGGGCCTTGCGCCTTGCGTTGGTTTCTACAGTGGTATTAGGAAGCCGACCTTCCAAAAGGCAATGGCAAACTACTGGATATATATTTGCCTCAAAAACCACAACAGCCAAAATAATGTTGGGGTTGGTTCTGCAACGTCCTGTAAAGGATACACAACTTAAATTTCTGTGTCTAATCTTTCTCTTTTCCTATCTATCTCTCTCCATGTCTGTCTCTCCCCCTATCTCTTTTCCTATCTATCTCTCTCCATGTCTGTCTCTCCCCCTATCTCTTTTCCTATCTATCTCTCTCCATGTCTGTCTCTCACCCTATCTCTTTTCCTCTCTCTCTCTCTCTCCATGTCTGTCTCTCCCCTATCTCTTTTCCTATCTATCTCTCTCCATGTCTGTCTCTCCTCTATATCTTTTCCTATTGTACTAGGGTGGAGAAAGCCCTTAGTGGCAAGATAAAAAAATGAAGGAAATATAGATAGTTCGTTAGGTGGGGACTAGAAACAAGAATATTCTAGTCCAGGCAAGAGATCTTCTGTGTAAAGTCTAATATAGCCCAGGTAACAAATAAACTAAATTAAAACAACGGCACACTAACTACTAGAAGCCCTAATCTGAAGGAAACAACTGTAACTATGAATACAACGTTGAATATAATTTTATTTAACTTCACATCAGCATGGCCACAAGTAACGACATAAACGACCACGTGCTGGAACAAAACCTCAATTATACAGCAATCTACCATTTAACTATTCCTTGTCTAGAATACCAATGAAAATCTATTTTAACCAACTAACCACTGAACGTACCCTCGACTGCCATCAGTCCGACCACGAACGTTACCTGTGGTCGCCATACCCATAGACCGGCCCATTGTGCAAAGCATCAGTCTGCTAGGTTCGGCTTCCACAGGTTGGTCCGGAAGTCAAAACAGGCTTGAAACTTTGTCAGTCGGCCGTTTAAATACCCCGTGGGCTGATTTTTTTCCATCTTCCGGTCAAATTTATTAGTTAGTTCCGGTGACCATTTTAAAACCAGAATAAATCTTAAGATCTTTAATCTGCTGTACTGTAGTCTCCGTCGCTTCCACCCTATTACACTATCTATCTCTCTCCATGTCTGTCTCTCCCCCTATCTCTTTTCCTATCTATCTCTCTCCATGTCTCTCTCCCCCTATCTCTCTCCATGTCTGTCTCTCCCCCTATCTCTTTTCTTATCTATCTCTCTCCATGTCTGTCTCTCACCCTATCTCTTTTCCTATCTATCTCTCTCCATGTCTGTCTCCCCCCTATCTCTTTTCCTATCTATCTCTCTCCATGTCTGTCTCTCCTCTATCTCTTTTCCTATCTATCTCTCTCCATGTCTGTCTCTCCCCATATCTCTTTTCCTATCTATCTCTCTCCATGTCTGTCTCTCCCCTATCTCTTTTCCTATCTATCTCTCTCCATGTCTGTCTCTCACCCTATCTCTTTTCCTATCTATCTCTCTCCATGTCTGTCTCTCCCCCTATCTCTTTTCCTATCTATCTCTCTCCATGTCTGTCTCTCCTCTATCTATTTTCCTATCTCTCTCTCTCCATGTCTGTCTTTCCCCCTATCTCTTTTCCTATCTATCTCTCTCCATGTCTGTCTCTCCCCCTTTCTCTTTTCCTATCTATCTCTCTCCATGTCTGTCCCTCCCCCTATCTCTTTTCCTATCTCTCACCACGTTCATCATAGACACAAGTTTCTGACTGATAGACTGGACAATTTAGATAAAATCGACATTTATTCCGAGTACATCTGCCAAGAGGCAAGAAACGAACATTTTGCGCACAAGTAAACTAGGTCTGTAAAACTGTACTGCATGCAACACTAAATATCTGGAATAAGACCAAAGTCAAAAACTCGAAGAACAACCAGACTACCCACCTGACCTTCCACAGGTCATATTCGATGTTATATATTATCATTTGCGATAGCAAGTGCGTTTATAAAATATTAGGCACCGTTTTGAACTTCTTGGCTGAGGTGCCGAGGGAGGGCAGGACTAGGTGCTTAACTGTTGGCCTGAGTGTCGTGAGACCAATCTTCGAGAATCTGCACTGAGACAGATTTGTATAAATTATCTAGGTTTTACAGGTTCATTCAGCCCCAGTTCTTCTTTATTTGTCACTTTATTCCACAACGTTGATGCTTATGGGAGTCTCGGGAGTGGTGTGATGTCAGTTCGTAGCTCACAACTCAAGACTCAACGTACCCATTAAAACAAAGAATTTGGTAGTTGATATCAATAAGAGATTCATGCTTTGACGAGGATACGAATGCATGACCACACAGGTTGTCAGACACAGGCACTAGGCACAGAGCTGCTACAACAACCACAGTTAAGAGAGCAGAAATCTTATCAATTTCTATTCTACTATAAAAAAAAAAAAAAATACAATCGCACAACTACTGAATCCACAGAAGGAAATATAATTGTAATATTTAAACATTTTAAATTTGATAAATGGAGCTGTCCCTATGGCTAGTTTGACGTTAGTCTAACCAAATAGAGTCGGTTACTTTTTATTCACACGCTTGTTGGGCTGGTCAACACTCCTGAAGGTTACGGGTGTGTTCCGCTCTGTTGTGTGGTTTCTGTGATGCCCTGCATTTACGTTTTCATTCCGATAGAAGAGAATACCTGTGACATAGGTTGCAGCACTTTCTGGGAGCGGGTGGGTGGGGGAAGGGGGATTTTTGTTAGATCCAGTTTCTCCATATTTTTTGAGTGTTGAAAGCCTTGGCGTGCTGAAATATACAAAACTCGATATCAACGGCACTGCGGACCACCCTCGTAGCCGTGTGCTAAGGACACGGTGTAGAGGCCTCATAAAATATTGTTAGAGGTGAGCTATTGTGTATATGGCCGGGGTCTGGGAAGACAAGCGTCGAACTGACGGTTATATTGCACACAAGGCAACCTGAGGGTTTAGCCAAGCAATTAACAGTTCATTTGCATATGGGCCAAAGATAGCTTGTAGACGTAGAGGCTTTCCCGTTAGTTAATAAACACGCGCTCTAGGAAATCTGCGTTATTTTTAAACATAATTTTTCAGTCAAATTTTGATTGCGAGATGGTAGTTGTTGACAATAATGATTGCGAGATGGTAGTTGTTGACAATAATGATTGCGAGATGGTAGATGTTGACAATAATGAATGCGAGATGGTAGTTGTTGACAATAATGAATGCGAGATTATAGTTGTTGACAATAATGAATGCGAGATGGTAGTTGTTGACAATAATGAATGCGAGATGGTAGTTGTTGACAATAATGATTGCGAGATGGTAGTTGTTGACAATAATGATTGTGAGATGGTAGTTGTTGACAGTAATGAATGCGAGATGGTAGTTGTAGACAATAATGATTGCGAGATGGTAGTTGTTGACAATAATGATTGCGAGATGGTAGTTGTTGACAATAATGATTGCGAAATGGTAGTTGTTGACCATTAAGCCTTCATTCACGAAACGTTCACTTACAGCGCGACCTTCGCCTCCAGTTGTTACCTTGGAAACCTCGAACACACAACTCCAGCAAGAAAACGTCCACTTGTCCGAGAGGTCCACAGTCGTGGCCCGATGCAAGGCTAATGTGGGCCGGCCAGAGAGAGGAAGCATCGGTTGGAGAGTTGTTCGTCAAAATGTTATAGAAAACATTGCAGAGTCCGACAACAGAGTGGCCACAGTGTCAGATGGTACGTGGTCTTGAACTTCACATCCTCATTTACTTCTTTAGGTGTGTGACAGATATAAGATTGTGCTTTCTACTCTTTTAGCCGCCTTGAGCGTAGATCATTGTTCTGTTGTGGAGTTTATCTTATGTCGTCTTGTCATCTTGTTGTTGGTCTGCTTCGTTATATCTGTCTGTGTCTTTTTGTAATGTATGCTATACCTTCTTATTCGGAAGCTGCAGAGATTCGGTTTTATAAGCGAGTGATAAGAATACCTTGGACAGACAAACCGAGCAGCGAAGACGTCTTGAAAGAAAACTGACGCGCGTAGAGAACTGATTACGCACCTCAGAAAGAGACAATCTTCATTCTTTTGTCTGTGATTAGAAGGAGAAAACTGGAGTACATCGTGACAGTAGAAAAGTTGGAGGGTAGGAGAGGCAGAAGGAGACCAAGAGAACATTTGCTAAACCGTTTGATATCATGGCATGGAGGATCATCTTTATCAGAGTTTGTTGAAAAGTACACGAGACATGAGGTTGTGGTTAGACATGACTACCAACGCCACACGGAATTTAACTCTTTGTCACAAGGAACGCATCATACGTTCATAGGTTCCTACCTAGAAGCCGAAGAAACGCATGATGCGTCGATTTTATTACTTTCTTTACTACCCACTGGGCCTGTGATGCTAAACCCCCGAGGACTCACAGAGTTGAGAAAAATGTATAGCTTGTATAATATGCCGTTGCAAGCCATTCAAAGTGGCCAGTCTTATATTTCGATTTTCGGCCCCATAGCACGTTAACATAGTCATGGTTGAATATCGTTTTAACGTGTCCGTTCATAGCTGACTGTATTTCCTGTGGATATAGTGACTACACTGCAAAGTTGCTAGGCCTGTCACATTTGCATCACCAGCCCATTGGCCATGGTATTTCAGGGGGACCAACGATAATTGCTTGTTTAAACAACGTTGCCTTTGCTGCATGACCTCTCTTTTGGTCTCCTTGTTTACTCCAAGGGAAAGGTAACATCAACATGTTTAGAACAGAACATGATTCAAACATTTAAGGTTCAGAAGTGCCCCTGTCGGAGCTTTTCTCCTAGATCAGTTGCCAAACAAGGCTAAGAGTCTGGTCAGTCCTGGGTAATGAGCAGACTAAGACACCGGCTGCTTCCGCTCCTCTGATCTGTAACTTACAAGAATCTATCAGCAACTATCATCTTTTCATTTCTTCTAAAACTATTATATTTTGTATCATGTTGACAAAACGGTGAACTTTATATTTCAGCCTCCAAACACCTTGCTAAGAAACTATCAATTTAATTGTTCTGCCTCCCAATATCTTGCTAAGAAACTATCAATTTAATTGTTCTGCCTCCCAACATCTTGCTAAGAAACTATCAATTTAATTGTTCTGCCTCCCAACATCTTGCTAAGAAACTATCAATTTAAATGTTCTGCCTCCCAACATCTTGCTAAGAACTATCAATTTAATTGTTCTGCCTCCCAACGTCTTGCTAAGAAACTATCAATTTAATTGTTCTGCCTCCCAACATCTTGCTAAGAAACTATCAATTTAATTTTTCTGCCTCCCAACATCTTGCTAAGAAACTATCAATTTAAATGTTCTGCCTCCCAACATCTTGCTAAGAAACTATCAATATAATTGTTCTGCCTCCCAACATCTTGCTAAGAAACTATCAATTTAAATGTTCTGCCTCCCAACATCTTGCTAAGAAACTATCAATTTAATTGTTCTGCCTCCCAACATCTTGCTAAGAAACTATCAATTTAAATGTTCTGCCTCCCAACATCTTGCTACGAAACAATCAGCTTTTTTTTTCTGCCTCCAAACATCTTGCCAGAAACTATCAAATTTATAGTTGTACATGAAACCTTAAACTCTATAATGTTGCAAAAAAATCTATGGTTAATGTTTCTGCTTAAAGTTCTTAGTTGTTGTATGTCTGTCAGAAACTATAAATCTTTTTCTTTTTCTGCCACCAGCAAGTATTGTCTTATAATTCTGCCATAAACTATCAATTTATTTTTCTGCCATAAAATATAACCTGTATAATTCTGCGATAAACTGTAAACATTTTAATTCTGCCATAAACTATCAGTTTTATAATTCTTCCACAAACAATAAACTGTATGATTTCACCACAAACTATCAACTGTATGATTTCGCCACAAACTATAAACTTCACAAACTATCAACTTTACAAACTATCAACTTTACAGTTCTGTCAGAAACAATCAACTGTACCCTGGAAGTGGAGCAAACCCTGACGCTGACGGTCACAAAGCAGGACCTTAACGTGTCGATTGTCTGCTTCGTGAACAACTCTGACTTCCCCATCAAAGACATTACTGTGAGCTGCCGAAATGGATCGTCGCAGCTGTGTGGTCAAACCCAGGCGTTTTCCATCTGTGAGTGTCCCTGTCTGTTGACTGTGTCACTCTAGATTGCCAGCAGTTTTCCATCAGTGAGTGTCCCTGTCTGTTGACTGTGTCACTCTAGATTGCCAGTAGTTTTCCATCTGTGAGTGTCCCTGTCTGTTGACGGTGTCACTCTAAGTTACCAGTAGTTTTCCATCTGTGAGTGTCCCTGTCTGTTGAACGTGTCACTCTAGATTGCCAGCAGTTTTCCATCTGTGAGTGTCCCTGTCTGTTGAATGTTATCAAATCTGAGTTGCCAGTAGTTTTCCATCTGTGAGTGTCCCTGTCTGTTGAATGTTATCAAATCTACGTTGCCAGTAGTTTTCCATCTGTGAGGGCTCCTGTCTGTTGAATGTTATTAAATGTTTGCTACTCGGAGGTAAAGACAGGAAATACTATAACCATGGGAACAAACAGTCAGTAAAGGTACCTAGCAGTGTCTTCAGCATGGGAGAACTGTGCACACAATGGGATGCCTGATGTGAAATACGTCGATTGTGATAACACATTATTATTGACTTATTGAATACATGGTTAAAGAATGAAAGTAAAGGAAAGGGGAGGATTAGTTTAGAGCTAGTAGAGGTTTAGAGAGACTGAGCATCATAAAATATGGAGTGGAGGGGCAGGGGGGGGGGCATTTAACCCCCCTCCTCCCAGGGTTGCGACCGATGGGTGATCATTCTAGCCACTGTATCACAAGGACCACCAGCTTGTACCTGGATGTTCAAATCTTCATAATCTATCTTCACTGAGATATTGACATGTTTTCTCATTTGTCCCGCCAACGGAAACAGTGTTTGGTGAGGGCCAAGACGGCACGTCGACTCTGCTAATGGGAGGCATTGTACTTGTTGCTGGCTTCCTAACCGCGGTGCTTGTTGATATCAGTAAGTTGCTTCCGTGTGTGGACTCTATGTGTCTTTGGTGGCTTTTAACAATGCTATATTCGTACACCCGGTACCTTATTTTTAAATCACCCCACGCAAAGAAAATCCCCAAATTTCCGGACAATTCCAATATTTTAGTGGCCACTATCATCAATTGGTGTCGACTGTTACGTGGAGGAGTTTCGGGAACAGAGTTGATAGAAACTTTGTCTCGGCTTCTTTGTGAACACTAGACTTCGACCCTTCTCTTATTACAATAAGAGAAACATGAATCCTATTGTCAAGTCTTAATGGCGTAATGTGCATTAATGTTCTCGATTCATGTTGTTTCGGCCATACCACTTTATCTGAGGTTGTTTAAATAAATCTAGTACAAGGTGTCGTTCCCCCAATTTTTCTGATAGTATCATTATTCACTATGTTATGATAATGTATAGGGAAAAAAAGAAATTAACAATATATCATTAATATTTTCAAAAGCCTATACACACGTTGGAAATGTAAAAGATCGAAGGCAGAATGTCGAAAACTTTTATAGTGAACTCTGGTGGGCGTTAGGTCTGTGTAATACCTATCGCCACTCCTTTTTTATCACATACATGGATACTATATGAAGTGAAACGAATTATAATCATGAAGAAGATATTACAGAAATACGATTTGCCGACGACCAGGTAGGCACTCATAGCCGAAAGTACGAAATGTCCACATAACCACCTAATCAAATCAACAACGAAGAATAGGAATATAATATGAGAATAAACATTATGAAGACAGAGACAATGGTTACTGGAAGACAGAAAGACAATTTAGATATAAAATTAAAAAACGAGGTCTTCAGACAAACAGAGGAATTAAAGTATTTAGAGGCAATTTTTACAGCAGATGGAAAAATTACATAGAAACTAGGTCGAGGTATGGCAAATCAAATTAAGTAATGGGGCAGCTATCTCCCCTGTGATACCCCTGGAGACAAGAAGAGGGGAACCCAGCACACAAAGGAAGCAAGGGAAGAAGAAGGGAGAGAAAAGAGGCATACAACGTCCCTCTTCTTCTTCGTGTTCACCAGCTGTAAACTCTGGCGGAAAGTTTTGGTTGTTCATCAACTTTTGGACTGCAGTCCTGTTCCAGAACCTGAGTTTTGCGTGTGCATCCGTTTTACAGATCTAAATGTTTTGTATGTAGACTGCTGGTTCCATGCCTCTAAGGCAGATGCACTCTGACTTCGAAGGAAGCTCCCAATTAGTCGAATCTTACATGCGTTTGAATAGTCAGTGAGCCTCTTCTTGTTTTCCCTATAATAGGGCTCAGGAACCCACACGGTGAAGTACTAAAGTGAACCTTATCACCATTTTTTGGGGGCCCCTAACATTTATTTTGAGGGTAAGAGGGTTGAATGTGCCTAACCTCACAGATTCGAGCTGTCTTCTTCTACAGTCATTATAATGAACTACTTTTACCGTTCTATCCCTAAAGTTTACCATTACGTCTGCAAAAAAAAACCGCCACCAGCGCCGCCACGGAAGAGTGCACCAGCGCCGCCACCAAAGAGTCCACCAAAAGACAAACAAGAACCACCAGAAGAGGCTGGCTCAGAGGTATATGAAGAAATTGAGTCCATCACAGAAGAAGAGGTTAACTCCGAAGGCGGTTCAGTAGTTTAA